AGGGCGTGAAGGCTAGAAAAAGTGATAAAAGGAGTGGGCAGGGCCTTACGGTGCTGGGCATGCGTGCATAGCAAAGCTCCGCCCACGATAGGGGGGCATGCGTTCAGGTGTTATGTTCTCTTTGAGAATGCTTATGAATCTATTCAAAAATGTGTGAAACTATAATGTGGAAAGTGAGTGGTTAGAGGCTATAGAAGTAATGCGGCCAAAACCCCGAAATAAGGGGGTTTGCTAAGGGTGGCGGGGAGGGGGGGGGAATTGGCAAGGCCAAAATCAAATATTTATGAGTCTATTCAAAAAAGTCCTAGAAAGCGGCCGAATTCTCGGAGTGGGCGGGGTTAGCCAGATGACTTGACGAGAAAGGGAGAAGAAAGACTTTCTATTCATTCCGAAGAAGAAGGTATACGAGTAAAATAACGTCCTCATAAAACCAGTGAGGTTATGGTCAGATCGGAAACCCTAGGTGGGTATGCTTCCTAAGCCGACTTCCTGTATCAACCCCTGACCAAGCACTATCCGAGGAAGTCATTATTAGAATGAAATAGTTTCATTTTATATCATCGAAAGGAAGTCCCAGATTGTTTGTACTAATCTTTGTCTCTATTACATAAGAAGGATTATGCCCGGCGTAGCTGGGCCTTACATTAGAAGGAGGAGAGCCTGGCGTTAGCTGGGCGATCCGACTGGTTTATGTATATTCCCGCTACGCCATGTATAAGTAAGTATTGCTGCCTTGAATCTATTCAATCCCACTTTCTTCACATCTGCTTACCACTGCTTTTTCAAAATGTCTCTAGAACTGGTCCTTTCCGGAGGAACGAATTAAATTTTCTGGCGCGCTTGCCCGCGATTTCATCTCAGTTGTCTTTCAAAGAAAATGTTCTGGATTTTGATTAAAGCATCCAAGTGAAGATTGCGTCCGGCCGCCCAAAAACTATAATTCTATACCAGCGGAATAGCAGCAATAAGCGTTGCTATTCTGCTGAGCACAGATCGAAAGCGTCTGTTCAATCTGGTTGCGTAGAAAAGGGATAAATTACGATTCCGGCTTCTGTTGTACTACTCGGTCTTAGGTTCAAAAGAATAATCCACAACATTAAGAGAAAGTGCTTTGACGTAGTCAGTCGCTCCTTGGAAGAGCAGCCATTTATTGCACAGTTCACGATGATTCTGAGGTATCTAGCTCAAACTCAATAATGGGAATATGGTCAGGAATCTACAAAAGTAACGAAGAAAGCGCGAAAACCGGCGGGTTTTAGGAAATGTAAAACCTTTTCAAAGGAGGGGCACTGCTCGAGATTATGTGAGTGTAATCCTTCGAGTCAACGAGGCCACATCTGGGTATTCACCACTGTCAAGACGGTTTCGGAGCCCTTATAACGCCCTGCAGAGATCACTGTTTCTTGACACAAAAATGTCCTACGTGCTATTTTTGGGGGCCGCAGGTCCAACATAAAGGTAGCTCTCCAAAACTATTTTTATCGCGAATCCTGCTCGGAACTTCACAAGGATTACTTCGTCCCGAAGAAAACGAACTTTTAAGTGTTCTTGTTAACATTGTTGACCATTGTTAATAGCATTTAATGGCAAATCATGTTATGAAATCGGTATTTTGGTAGCCAATTTAAGGAAAACATGATAAGGTGCGTATTGCTGAGTGACACAGTATTTTAGGCACAAATGGATTGAAAAAATGATCATTGTTCATTTGAAAGGGCTGCATGTTAGTGCTTCGTCACATAAACAAATGAATTAATTTTTATGCTTATAAATTCCTTAGCTTTTTTTGATGCTGATTAATTCTGCTTTGGAATGCGCACCACATGCGACTTCCATTCAGAACCATAGTGGCGGTTTGAAAGATTATGTGGCCTGTACAATGAATTGGGATGACCGGCACATATACAAATGTCTGCTTTCATATCTCCAAAGGAATGTGTTACCAACCAATTACGCTCTTGGAAGGATGGAAGGGCTTCATGGCCTGGGCTAAGGGACTACAAAGTAAAACCTCAATGGCTTTGCTCTCAAATTACAGTTTCGCTTGAATTAATGGATCTGACAATGTTAATAGTATCAACTTCCTCAGTAGCTCTTGGAAAATTTTCATGGGTAACGTGGGCGGAATTCGGCTAAAGGCGATGACTGGCGCGAACAATTGTTCTGATCTCGCTTATCAAAAGACAGTTAAACTTCACATTGTTGAAAGGAATGTTTTATTTTCATGAGAAAGTGTGGAGGCAGTCCAGTGGCAGTGCAGGAGACTTTGTTACAAAAAGTCAGTAGAATTACAAGAATTGCAGGTTGAAGACGACAGACACAAGAAAAAGAGACTGAAAGTAGGCGTGGTAATGAATCCAGTAAATCCTGTCCTTCGAATTACGGATTTAGCCTTCAATTTTTTCCGCTCATCAAGAAACAGCATTGTAGTCTTCTATTCCGAGGAGTAGCTGCCATCACTCGAGTAAAGTAGAGCTTATGCGAATCCCACGCTTCTCAGAAAGTTTCTCGAGATTTAATTAGTAGTTGGTTTCATCGCTAGCTCTATANATTGCGAAGAAAGGGGTCCGTTGATTGAACTTTGCTCAACGAAATGTTCCTTGGGAGCTTCTTTGCTTCGAACACGTTTTCAGCCCTCGATAGACTCACAGTGAAAGAAAAATGGTTTTGAAAGAGCCGGTCGGTCCTCAGCAAACACATTTCCATGCAACTTTTCCGTCCATCTCACTAGTGAGATGGGAATTAAAAAGAAAATGAAATTTGTGAGGAAACCGCTGCTTCGTACGGATTTTCTATCTTTTCAACTCCTTCCATCGATTCCAGGAAACTAAAGAGGGTCCTTCACTAATCGCGGCAGTCAGAACGTTAATGCCATGTATCAAGTACACCTGCAACGTGATAGAAAGTAATGGCAAAAGGTAAGAGATTAGCGCGAAGCTGCTCTTCAAGACTTCGACAAACGCTTGACAGGGTGCTCACGTTATTCAGTATATCATCGAGTAAAAGCAATGAATATTGGATGTAGCCATGATTTCCTAACCCACCGAGAGATGTCCCACGACCTTGACCGACCAAATTTGAAGAGAGTAAAAGTGTAAGAGCAGCTAATTGCTTACAGGGTGTGACGATTTCAAGAGATCTTCAATAGAATGTAGAATCAGTGAAGGAATATGCACACGAAAGAAAATGAGCATCAGGCTGAAATGTGGTGGGAATTTCACTCATATTCAACCAAGGAATTCTCCGGAGTCCAATTAGGATGGTCACAAGCAAGAAGCATTATTTCTTCAAGTTAAAGTGAAGGGTAAGCATTTCGGCGCTTCATTAGGATAAGCTTCGTGTGAAGGTACTGTAGTGGCGCGTAACATCGTTGAAACACAAGTGGGGAACGTTATGAATCAGGGCGTGGAAAGCTGGTGACACGCCTTCCGCTCACCACACCTAAATATCCGTGTACTTTGGGGGTTATGTAGCAAGTAGGTAGCAGTCAAGCAAAAAGTACACTGAACAATCAAAAAACGTCGCGTGTATATTTTACTTGAACGTATATCGCATCAAACGAAATGTTTGCCTCCAAAAATCCGTTTTAGAGAGGGAGAGCTTCTGCAATTCATTACAGTTTTTAGAAATGCTGTTCAAGCTCTTTAAATAAGTCCTTTTTTATTTTCAATATTGTTGGGGTAAGCTTGATAAATGACTTCATCTCCGACAAAGGCTGAGATGAAGAGATTGCATAAATTCGCTGTGCCCAAAACAACAAAGAAGGCAAATAAGTAGCTGAGAGGAACATACAAACATCCAATCCCTTCAAAATTGTCACCATCACCGACAAGGTCACCACTTGCTCACATCGAGGGTTTCTTGCCTTGCCTCAACCTCATTCTGGTATTCCATTGTGATCACGTTTTCTTCGAGAATGCTCGTGGTTACTTACGCTGACCTTCTGATTCAGTGCCTTTTTTATTAGGTGTTCCTCTCATCTACTTCCATCACGTACAGAGCCTAGAAATGCACCATGTTTTGATGAATGTTGCTGCCTTGAGATTGTCTTTTTACCAGGGTTCACTGTTCCTAGTTCGTCTAATTTTCGAAGCACACTATTACATGGGAACCCCAAATCTTGATCATGATTGGGTCAGAACACTGCGAATTCACGAACCCTGGAAGGTTTTTACGTTCGCATTCATGCAGCTGATTCACTCGCGGATGACACGTTCCTCTGGGTGGTTTTACAAAATATTTCATGACGCTGAATGGAGGGGAGGCCAGTGGAACCGGTCCGCAGCGCTTTTTGACACGGTCAAATCGCTTTTCTATATCGTGTCGACACGGACTATGGTCATTGCCGATGGATGGGCCGAGATTAAGGTCGATTCAGCTGAAATCCGTTATAAAACCGGAGCAGTGGCTGGCGTCGTCGAGCACTAATACTGCCGTCATGATCGCTGTCATCCTGCTTTTGCTAGCAGTTGCGGTTCGTTCTAACTTTTCGATTAGAAATCGTTTTTTCTACGATGCTCTCTCTCAGAATTGCGAAGATAAAAATAAGAAGGCTCCTGAAGTAAGCGAACAACTGGATCCAAGCGTCTACATGCGACCGGGATTATTTGGAGCTGCAGGACCGGTGTGTACCTAAAGATGTTTGGTTGTTATGGACATACCGTGAAAATAGTGTTCAGGAGTTTTACAACATTAACAACAACAATAACAACAACAATCAACTCGGGACGATGATTCCAGGTGAGAAGTCTACTTTAACGCGGCATTTAAGAGTCTTTCATAATCAGGGAACCGCCAAAAAATGTCAGCTAATGTAGGAACAGCCAAAGGAATCGTTAACCGCTGTATGAACGACCTTTTTCTTTCCCCTAAACTTTCACACATCTAAGATATTCCTGAAGCTGATGAAGATGAATATCATTTTCTTCCACTGAATCCTACAGGTATGATAGGTAGTCCACATGTCACTAGAAAAATCAGTCTTCAAATATTTGAATTTCCCACTAACAAACCTTGGTGTCCTTCCCAGAAATGATGTGGTAGCTTACATCATTTATTCGCTGTGTTTACACTGAGCCTAGAATTATGAGCGCTTATTCATTGCAGTCGGGTGAGCCTTCGTCGAAGGTATCAAGGTTCTTACTCTGGTGACTATGTAGATTGCATGAAACCCTGCCTGCGCAACTACTCAGTGACGGATGAATTGAACTTCATCGATAGTTTTCGTTTGAGTTCCACACTCTTGGTCCTGGATTTTGGTTCTCGTCCTGCTTTCGAAGTTTCTGGAATTTGGTTTTCGCGGTTCGCTGACTCCCGGAAATTAAATCCCTGCAGCTCAAGCCAGCCAAGCCTTATACTTCTCCAGAGTCGGTCGATTTGAAGCAGATCCTCTTTATGGGCAGGCTACGACGAATTATCGTATAGGCCACATACGCACTCAAATGCCACTATGCTTCTGATGAAAGTCGAATGTAGGGCGCAACTCAAAAGCGGGATTAATGTTTGTTCTGTCCAATCATTTGATTTGGGACACCTGTGCCACCGAGGAATGTGGTTTAAGCCGTGGTACAAGTGATTTGAAGCACTTCCACTGTAGTAGACACCATCACCTGCACTTGTTCTTTTGAATGAAATTTTAAAAAAACAACAAAACGTATACTATACTGAACTTTGAGGAGTAACCATTGCGGTGATGACTGTTGACCAAATCCTTGCTATTGAGTATTTTTCAAAATATCCGAAAGTGGACGATCCTGCTAGTATCCATTGTAGTAGTGTTCTCGACGTGGGAGGTTCGAATTCTGAGTGAAAACATTGAGCATCTACCATCGTTTGTTTTCTCTCCTTCTTCACTGGAACTCAGTCCATAGTATTAGAGTATTACATTGGAAAATGCTTAGGTAAAGTGTAAACTCTGCACCTTGCAGGCCAACTTACAGTAATGCTATGAAATGTTTCTTCAGTCATTTTATCATGAAATTTTTCGAAGAAGGCTCTTTTACTTTAAAAAAAAACTTAGAATAAGTCCTCCAAGATGTTAATTGAGCACCATGAAATGTTCCTTTTTGGTTTGGGCATGGCTCACCTTTGTGGGTAAGTAGTCTCCCTGTAATGGACAATTACCATTCCACCCTTTCTTATGAGGTTAATTTCACTTGTACCCGGATCTCGGTTCGACGATCGCCTAGAACAATCGGGCATTCTAATCCTTCCGAGATCGCCAAATACGCACAACGCTACGAACCTGACTAGAAGTCGATTTCGGGCTTGCATTTCAAAACAGAACTGTTAAATGTCCTGTACTTTATGTTTTCGTTCGAATAGAAAAGCAAAATGTGGTGGGTGGAAACGTTCAAATGGAAGTGCTCTCGTGGATTGAACTCTTGACAATACATCAACTGCTTTTCTGCATGGATTCCTTTCATAGGGGAGCAATGTACCACGCACTCTTCTTGGCACTCTTCAACTCTCAGCAACAATTGCAGTACGTCAGTGTGCTGTCTATACTAGACTCGTAGTCAACAATTCATGCTTCCACTTATCATGAGTGGGCGAATTCGTATTATGTAGTGACGAGAGAAACACTGGCTTTTTATGGCAACTAATTTGAATATTTCAATTGGATTCGGGGCTGTTTCATCACATTCGTCACTCGTAATGCGTCGCCGTAGCTCACTGCATCATTTAGCAGAACAAAGCTACCAATGCGATTGAGAATGGGAAGTTGATGTTTGGAGAGTATTATACTCCCAGCTCTCTCATTTCACTTTGGAAACCTTAGCTGGGCATACCTCCCCTACTTTACAACTTTCCTTCATGCGGTTGTTGTAGCGACCAATAACCGAAGTTGCCCTTTGGTACTAGGGCGAGTAACCGTGCCCGGAATAAAGTAGTTGGTCTTATCGCGTTCCTTAAAAAACGTTCTCCTTTGTTCGTGGATGACCTTATGACGGACAGTGCGAGTAGTAACCAGCTTCAATGACTCGCACGAAGTGTCTCACCCTAAGCAAAAGGCACCCTCTTCTGATTGTCGAATGAAAACGGACGTTAAAGGCACAGTTCACGATAATTTTGGGCAATCCAGATTATGATGAAAAATGGAAGACAAGTTCGAATATAGTGCGATGAAGGTGAAGGAACTGCGTGAATCGGTGTTTCCAAAGTGAAAAAGGCTTCGAAAAACCGTCAAAAAGGGGGCTGGACGAGAATAAGACCAGAAAAATGAAGAAGAGTGGGGCGTTTGGACCAGCTATACAATGTGTCTCACTGCGTGCGTGTGGGTCCTGATGCGAATAACAGACTATGGTAAGCAAAAATTCACTCTTTTATAAGCATAAATAAACAAAAAACCTTAGCAACAGCAAAAGTCGCTCACCTTTTTCAGCCTCTAGGAGTAGAAAGTTATGTAAGGGATCGTGGCAGCAAAAAGAATGACGTAGTAAAAAAGAATGGGAGGAAGACTTCGCCTCATCACCCGGCGATCACCTGATTGTGTGTGGGTCCTAGAACGAATAGTAGCAATCAGTATTGTCACGACACTCGTCTAAGGTGACATCGATCGAGGGGCGGGGAAGTAGGGGAGGGGCCCTGAATACCCCTAAACGAAGAACTCAGTAACCTTTTTATCGTGAAGCATGTTTTTAATGTAGGGACCATTACTGAAGGGGAGATTCGAATCTCGAATTCTCATCTTGATCGGTAAAAGTAAAATTGTAGATTTTAACTATTTTGCTCTTTGACTCTCTTCACGACAATCATCAAGTTGGATTTCGGTCCGGGATCAGTTATTAGTAGTGGTTTCCTGTTTAGTAAAGACATCGAAACGCCAGGCACGACGATCGCAAAGCCGCGTAACAAATGGCAGCTCCACTTTGAGGCTCAACTTTTCCCATCGATTTTCCTTATCATCTCAGCCGCATAACTCGGGGTCCGAAATCTGAGGTATGGCACACCCTGCCGATTTCCCGACATTTCTATTTCATGCCCGTTTCACGAGAGTGAAGGGCAGGCGGGTCAAGAGAATTACTAACGGTTGATTAATATTGGGTGCTTTGAAATTCTCACTACATACTTCTAAGTGCAATTCATGTGCGGTTCAGACTTGCGGAAAAATGAAGTTAATCATTCATAATTCCGACAGATTTGTGAGAAATGCGGCGAATTTTAGGTGGATGCAAGCGAAAGTTCAGATTCACGAGTCGTCGAGTTTTTCCTTTTCCTAATTATGAGATTATAACATTTTTAGCTTTCGAAGCCAGGTTAAGAAGGTTACGGTTACATATGTGAATAGATGATGTAAGCCATCTACTCTGGCCCTTTTTTTCCATATGTATTCTCTGAATTACGAAAGTGAAACGACTTAGATATTATTATTCAAATGATTCCTTTGCAACATTTAGGCAGTGCACCTGCTCCATCGGTGAATATTTCTGCTCATTACGGTAAACAGAAAAGCTAGAATTAAAAAACAATCTTAAAACAATCTTTTACACTTGAGCTTGTGATATGTGGCGTGTGAGGTGCTAGACAGCTGGTGTTTTTTGAAACACCTAGTATAATAAATTTTACTCATTAATTAGCTAAACGTGTACAAAAAAAACATCAGCACAGTTAACTGGGGCCACAAAATTTGTCCAAGGCTCAATAACTGAATAGCACGGTTTGGTTGATATGATGTGCAGGTTTGATGCTTCTAAGAGGTATAAGTAAGCAGAACATAAACCCAACACTTGGGTTGATATGAAATGCTTACAGCGGTGGGAGAAAAGATGATACAAGTTGCCGTCTACAAAAACTAGCTAGGTTCACTCGTTTCTAGTGCAAATTCTGGAAGCGTCTGCATCGACACGATTAAATGGGCTTGAAAGCACTACGTAACGGAGTTTGCCGACTTCAGCGAGCAACAGGTATAAAGTGGCTGGGGTCCGGAATCTTCTCCCTCCTCGAAGACGGCGTCGCACACGCCGCACCCGCCGCGTATCGCAGTATTGCGATGGAAAATTGGAGCGCACAATTTGTGAGGTAGGGGGTCCTTTAATTATTTTGAATTGGCTTGCCGCCCTCTTCCATTCCAATGCGGTCTTGATCGTGCTAATATAGGAGGAGTCATTCTAATTGAATAAGTCGTCTAATATACATAAAAACAAGAAAAAGAAAGATAAAAAACGATCAAACCCAATAAAGAAGAAAGGCAATCAACGAAAAATATTGCGTCCTATCGACTGGCTTGGGAGCGGGATGAATACGGTAATTGCAATGACATTTGCCGCATGCCGCAAGGGAGAATGCCGCAATAGGGGAAAAGTTCCGTTACTCAAAGTGGCTGGCATAGAAGTAATAAGGACAGCAAGTGTCTGAGATGTGAGAAGAGAATTTTCGTTCTGTATGGCCCCATCAAGTTGGTCTCGGTCTTCTCAAACAATACTCATGTGTTCTGCACGTCAACGACCCACTATCACCGAAATCGGTCAGTCTGTTTTGGAGGGAGTTTCTGGTGCAAAGCAGCCAGCGGGGTATCTAATCAGTAATCTGGCTTCGTACGATGAGAGCACCTCAGTTCAATCCATGTAGTCATCCATGGAACGATCATTATTCCAGATTATCTCAACTCGTCGTATCATCGTCGGAATCAATTTC